TCGCCACATGCGACTTTTACAGAAATCGCCACATGCGACTATGTTGGCCAAGGTGGCGGAAAATTTCCATGTGCCTCTAAAACGGCCGAAACCGTGTTCATAGAGCTGGGATGTCGAATCGATGCAGGATGAACCTGTAGTTGCACCTTTCCGACTAACGACAGAAATCGCCACCTGCGACTATGTTGGCCAAGATGGTGGAAAATTGTCATTTACCAGACAGAAACCCGAAACCCCGTTCATATTGCTGCGAAGTCGATTCGATACACGATGAAGCTACAGTTGCACCTTTCCGACTAACGACAGAAATCGCCACCTGCGACTATGTTGGCCAAGTTGGCTGGACATTTTAATATATATCACACTCAGCTGAAACCGTGTTCATAGAGCTGCGAAGTCGATTCGATACACGATGAAGCTACAGTTGCACCTTTCCGACTAACGACAGAGATCGCCACATGCGACTATGTTGGCCAAGGTGGCGGAAAATTTCCATGTGCTTCTAAAACGGCCGAAACCGTGTTCATAAAGCTGGGATGTCGAATCGATGCAGGATGAACCTGTAGTTGCACCTTTCCGACTAACGACAGAAATCGCCACATGCGACTTTGTTGGCTACGGTGGCAGGCCATATTCATATCCCTGACAGACACCCGAAACCGTGTTCATAGAGCTGCGAAGTCGATTCGATGCAGGATGAAGCTGCAGTTGCACCTTTCCCACGAACGACAGAAATCGCCACCTTCGACTATGTTGGCCAAGGTGGCGGAAAATTTCCATGTGCCTCTAAAACGGCCGAAACCGTGTTCATAGAGCTGGGATGTCGAATCGATGCAGGATGAACCTGTAGTTGCACCTTTCCGTTCAAACTTGGAAAACGATGAGTCGCAGTGACCTAAAATATGAAGAAAATGCATCACCTTCATAACATATTCACAGAAATACTAAGTTCACAAACCTCTAAAGTGATGGAGACTGAGTGCTTTCTTGTCTTTCTTTTTGGTGGAGTACTTAAAGAATCTTGAAATATTTCACTAGGAAGGTATTTCAAAGCACCATGCGATGATTTTGTCCCTCATTACGACTCACCTCGTCGGTATAGGTATTTTCTTTGGATTACACGTATTATTAGTCAATCGTCGCTTTTGGACGTTATGGGGCTGCAAAAATTCCTGAAGTACTTGATACCCCGCAAAGTGTCATTCCGATTGGTGCCCAATAACGTGATCATGTTTTAGAAACGGGAACGTGAAACTCCAATAGAAGCCGAATTGGTTTTGAAGGTGAAGGGTTTAAGGCCACTTCCTTAACTTATTTTACTGGGCCCCAAGACGTTACTACTAGTTTAGATCCTCTAATTAAATTATAGTCGTTAAGCAGGAATTACTATGGACCGGATTGTGTCCTACAATGGCTTCAAGGTCGACCTAAATATTTAAATATTTCTATTTGAACAATCATAAAGCAACGAGTGACGTTCATAGATATGGTAGGCGAGTATCCCAAGAAATATATCGAACTTTCGTGCATTAACCTGATGCTGTTGTATCACAGCACAAGTCCGGGAATGACTTAAACGACCCCGACACAATACAAAATCCACTACCAGGAAAAATGTATAATTCGAAGACCTGATCGACTTCGAAAATAAATTTTACTGGTACCCGCATGGATATGACTGTAATTTAGAATATGTTTAAGAATTTATTTCCAAACTTGTCATTTAGCACTTTATCGGAGTCAGTTTGTGCATTCGAGGGCAATTGATACATTTAGAATCATCTGAATATTTGTGAATATTTATTAATAAGGAATAATTTTTTTTCGTACTAACTCGACTCCAATTGCTGCTTTTATTCCACTCAAAGAACAAAACATGGTGAGATATCGGATAGGGGAAACCAACGAAACTCGAACGCTTAGGCTAAAGGTATCGGCTACTCGTATGATTTGCTGTCTGATGAATGAAATCATATCCGTGTAGTTGCCGTTTTATGAAACATACCGTCAAGAAACGCCATAAATTCAGCCTACAATCAATTTTACGGTGAAAAAATGCTCTAAGCATATCAATTGGAATCCTCCAGTAAGAGATTCGTAAATCATTTTCGGCATTCCATAGTTGAAGAATTTCTGCAGAAGTATCGGTGAAAAGCGACCGCTTTTCCGGTAAAACGATATCTGTTATCGTCTATGAGGGAGAGGTTGCATTCAGAGACATGCGGTTTCGCCAATGAAATATCATTTTCGGCGTTCCGAAGGAAGCATCCTCCACTACATGAAACTGAAAGTGGAATACGGCGACTGGAATCTCAAGATGCTCAGCGGAATNGCTGCGAAGTCGATTCGATACACGATGAAGCTACAGTTGCACCTTTCCGACTAACGACAGAGATCGCCACATGCGACTATGTTGGCCAAGGTGGCGGAAAATTTCCATGTGCCTCTAAAACGGCCGAAACCGTGTTCATAGAGCTGCGATGTCGAATCGATGCACGATGAAGCTGCAGTTGCACCTTTCCGACTAACGACAGAGATCGCCACCTGCGACTATGTTGGCCAAGTTGGCTGGACATTTTAATATATATCACACTCAGCTGAAACCGTGTTCATAGAGCTGCGAAGTCGATTCGATACACGATGAAGCTACAGTTGCACCTTTCCGACTAACGACAGAGATCGCCACATGCGACTATGTTGGCCAAGGTGGCGGAAAATTTCCATGTGCCTCTAAAACGGCCGAAACCGTGTTTATAGAGCTGCGAAGTCGATTCGATGCACGATGAAGCTACAGTTGCACCTATCCGACTAACGACAGAAATCGCCACATGCGACTTTGTTGGCTACGGTGGCAGGCCATATTCATATCCCTGACAGACACCCGAAACCGTGTTCATAAAGCTGCGAAGTCGATTCGATGCAGGATGTACCTGTAGTTGCACCATTCCGACTAACGACAGAAATCGCCACCTGCGACTATGTTGGCCAAGGTGGCGGAAAATTTCCATGTGCCTCTTAAACGGCCGCAACCGTGTTCATAGAGCTGGGATGTCGAATCGATGCAGGATGAACCTGTAGTTGCACCTTTCCGACTAACGACAGAAATCGCCACCTGCGACTATGTTGGCCAAGGTGGCGGAAAATTTCCATGTGCCTCTAAAACGGCCGCAACCGTGTTTATAGAGCTGCGAAGTCGATTCGATGCAGGATGAAGCTACAGTTGCACCTTTCCGACTAACGACAGAAATCGCCACATGCGACTTTGTTGGCTACGGTGGCAGGCCATTTTCATATCCCTGACAGACACCCGAAACCGTGTTCATAGAGCTGCGATGTCAAATCGATGAACGATGAAGCTGCAGTTGCACCTTTCCGACTAACGACAGAAATCGCCACTTGCGACTATGTTGGCCAAGGTGGCGGAAAATTTCCATATGCCTCTAAAACGGCCGAAACCGTGTTCATAGAGCTGCGAAGTCGAATCGATGCAGGATGAAGCTGCAGTTGCACCTTTCCCACGAACGACAGAAATCGCCACATTCGACTATGTTGGCCAAGGTGGCGGANTGTTGCTGTGGGTATTACGGCATAGGCCAGTCTATATGGTCTTTCAAGGAAATGTAATTAAAAACAGTTGCAAATCAACGTCACACCCTTTCAGATTTTAATGAAATTTGGAATCCCCAGCCACAAAACCCGGAAGTGTCACATTTCAGACTCCTCGGGCCAGTAGATCAAATATTACAGGGTGGTCAATATTTAGTGTCACCAACTAACCGCCGACTTTGATTATCAAATACTGTAATTCAAGAACTGCTTATAATAGAACCTTAATTGTGAATGCAATGGATGATCATAGAACATGCGAACAGAACCGGCAGACAATAATCACAAGGGCTGCGGCGGCTGGCTGCACAGTTTTTGGGTTTGAGAGGGAGGAATTCCGCGTTCGAGTCTGAGCGCATCCGTTCGACTCAAAGCGGTCCGAGTTGGCTAATAAGTCATTCCGTTTTTTTTTTTCGAAATCTTCTCACGTTGCAGCGTCTTTTTGAAAATATTTCGAAATGGTTCTGAGTTGTAGTCTAGATGTTATTGTATTTCTCAGTTATTTTTTCTACAATCTTTTTTGCTTTTAGGTCTAAGATAATGGATCCAGAAAAGACCTATCACAGACACTGTATCAGATATGAGTTCGCCCAGGGACACTCAGCAGCGGCAGCAGCCAGGAATATCTGTCAAGTGATAGGTGAGGGGGTTGTCTCTCCACGCACGTGCATGTACTGGTTCGATCGGTTCCGCTCTGGCGACTACTCTGTGACAGTCACTGCCACCTCCTACTGCCTCCAACTGGAAAGACTCAAGTCCGCTCTCGATCTCAGACGTCCAGGGCTCGACAAAATGTCTACATGCTGCACGACAACGCACGACCACACACGGCAAAAGTGACACGTCAAAATCTGATCGAGTTGGGATGGGAGCTGCTCCCACCATCCTCCGTATTCCCCTGTCATAGCTCCTTCCGACTACCATCTCTTCCGTGCCCTGCAGCATCATTTGGATGGGAAGAGCTACGACGATCGACAGGCACTCGAGACTGACCTCAGCGAGTTCTTCGAATCGAAGCCTGCCCGCTTCTACAGGGATGGGATCCACGCGCTGCCTATGAGATGGAGACAGATTGTGGATGGTGATGGGACATATATTATTGACTAAAGGTATCTCAGAATTAATGAAAATAAAAATAATGTTGATCGAGAAAAAACGCAAAGATATATTAGCCAACCACGATTACGGCATGTCGCATTTCGGGGGGACCTATATACTCGTTTTTCGTCACTGAAGATTTATTCCTGTCGTGACTTGACCTTTGAAAACAGGTAGTTTCAGAGAGGGGCGAAGCAATGTGATCGCCCCCTAGGCTGACCATAATGGGCTCTGAGAAACACAGGTAGTGATAATCGGACGGAAAAATAATTCGAATTTCGTTGGTTTCCCCTATATCACGGCATTGGAACCTACATCAAGATACGAAAGAAATTCAAGAAACGCCACGTCATCTTTCAACGCATCCAAGGTTGCCGAAAGACATTTACTATTAGATTCAGAGCGATGTCAATACATGTCCCACGTGTGTCCGCTATCACTATGACATTCAAGAAACGTTCCAGGAACATACTTTGTTGGTTGGGATGTGATGGGCTCTTTTCCCACGTGATTTAAGGCAAGGTACAAGGCGTCCTTTCTGGAGATTACTTTCAGCTCCGACCGCTTCAGGAAAAAGGGAATTCAACTGAGCCACGGCCACCTTTTCCTCCTGAAAGACACGAATATACTCAGGAATTCTTCAAGGCTGGCAGAATTTTTGAAATACCAGATTAAGAGGTGTAAGTCAGCAAGAACAATCAAAAACAATCGAAGCATTATCTCCTATTAATATACAGGGTATGGCAAAAAAATCAGCGACAAATATATCTCTGCTCACACTGGAGCTTCTCACCAAACCTTCGGTCCATAGATAGATAAGTTTTCAGAAATTCATTATTTCAAGGCAAGACCCTGAGCAATGACTGAAAAGACATTAATGAAAATTGGCAAGCTTGTGTTAGTAGAGGAGTAAAGGACACGCTGGACGGCTGGAGTATTCTTCACATCATCATTGCAGATAGTGACTGGAATGAAGCTAATCAAAGAAGAACATATGAATGAATAAATATCAAAACAAGGTTTATTTAAATATTCTATTGGTCCTAGTCGAAGATTGAAGCAGGAGGGTTCAGAGCTCAGCAGAGATTAGAATTCCTTGTTCATTTTAAATTTTAAAGTAAATTCCAATTATTGCTCATTGTATTGCTCTTGCACTATCAATTGGCACGAAATCAACATATATAAAAAATATAATTCTAAGCATAGTGCAAGTTTCATGAGAATACCTCAATCAAGAGCATAGATAAGCAGGTTTAAAGTTTATTGTGGCTACACCCAAAATACCATTTTTGTGAAATGGTGACATTTTGCCTTCTCCCATAATCAGAGCTTTGCACATCAATAATTCTTATTGTCCACCAAGTTTTTCTTCTTTTATACATCATGTCATTATGCTATGCTTCAATTTGCAGAGAAAGCCATCCAGAAATAGTGTTTTAACACTCTAACCTGCATTAGAGGCTCTACAATTTGAAATGCACCATATTTTAAATTCATTTTCATAACTAAGGGGTACCTCAAGTGGTTAATGATAATTCATGTTTGAAAGCTGCATGCTGATTTTGCTGGAAGGATGCCCCATACCCTAAACCAGGGATGCACAAACTTATTTGCCAAAGGGCCAGATAGTGAAAGCTGAGCCAGACTGTGGGCCAAAACATCGAGGGAAGCAGGACTATCTTCAATGGTATGGCATATCCTATTGGATTGCAGTACCAGTGGAAGGATTTTATCTGGCTGCAGGCCAGATCAAGTCCTTCTGTGGGCAGGAGGTTGTGCATCCCTGCCCTAAACTCTAAATTCACAAAGGAAATTTAAAAATGAGACAGAAATTCTAGGATACTCTGTATTTCAATTGATATATTCGTCACAGTAACAGAGATGAAAGAATAGCCACAGAAAACTGTTCAAAAGGGCATTTTTAGGACCAGTGGTGTAGGCAGGAAATCGGCAAGGGGGGGGTTGAGGCCAGGTAGACACCACAACCCTACGCCTAGCTCCACTACCCAGATTTTACCTTTTCAAAGAAATCATGGTCTGGTATCTTGAGTCTGTGGATGGACATCAGACTTTCCTCGAAGGGACATAGCTGAAATTGGAATTCCCAAGGAAGGTTGAAATGTGTCTGTTAGAGTCACTGACAAGGAAGCCCAATCTTTAGGGGTTCTAATCCCCTAAACCCTCCCTTCCCTATGCCACTGTTTAGGATAACTTTAAAATGTGATTTCATGAATGAAATACTTCCAGAATGATTCAACATCAGATAAAAGAGCATGATGCTGTTTCATCAAATGTTGTTGTTAATCTAAACTTGTCATGATCTACAGCTGTACAATATAGCAACTTGAACAGTTAGCAGCACCAAACATTAAATCTTGGATAATAGGAAATAATAATATGAGAGCATGGAGGAAGCTGGTCCCAGTGACACTAATGCTCAAGCAGAATCAGCTTTGACACATAAAACAGTGTCATCATGGAAACATGGAGCACTGGAATGCCCATAATTTTGTGAAATCAGACTTATCCCTTCTTTATAAGAAAAAAAAAAAGGAAATATATATTTATTATTTATCAGTTGGCATTACTTATTCCACCTGTTTTCAATTTTTATGACACTAAATTGTCATAACTTCAAATCCCATGGAAGAATACTCATAGGAGGAATTTATAGTAGGGTACAAAAATTATTGAATGGGATGGACAGCAGTTTTTTCAGACTTATGAACAAATGAGTACTATTCAGGGAGGGAATGGAAGTAGTCTTTTATGGATTTGGAATGAGGTATGAAACAGTTGACTAGTTCTAGCACATTCTGAAATGAAGAAAATTGCTAAAAACATGTCCACATTCAATTAACTTTTTGATTCAACTAGTAATGTTAGAATAGAAATGATAATCCAGCTACCACCTTTCATTCATCCTTCCAGGAACCATGTATTGGCTGAGAGCTCTTGAGCACACCCACACCTCCATCCTATTCCTCTGAATCTGAAAAAAAATTTAAGATAGAAAGGAATAAGATCAGCTGTCATTCTCATCTGTACATCTCTCATGAGTAAACAAAGAATCACTTGCCAAACTGAAATAAACAAGAGGTGGAATGTACATTGTGTCTGGGATGGAGATATCAGGAAGACAGGAACACAATACCCCACAGCAACTGGTACTGCTATGGTACATTCCTCCCCTTCTTCCACATATCTCCATCCCTCTGGGTCAATCCATGTGCCTTCTTATCCCACACTTCCCTTTGACTCAACTCACCCATGGTTTCCTCATCAGAACTAGGGAGAATGCCTGAGAAAGCAGTCCCGTGCCCCTCATGATATGAGGGTCACTCTAAAAATAAGTCCCAATTTGAAAGTATGTGAAGGTACAAGGCTTGGGATTTTTTTTTCCTACATAACCACCCTATACATGAAAACACTTGTCCCACATTTGTAAAATCTCACATATCAACAAGATTAACAGTTCCTCCTGTTGACCTCAACATTATCCTGTCACCATCTTGGAATAATTCTCACAAGAGATGAAATGAGTTCATTGGATGCACTGGATAAACCATGGAAATGCAGTAAGAGAAGGAATGCAAAATGAGTCAAGGATGGAGGCACCAAGAAGAGGAGGAAGGTGGCTCTCCATCGGAGCCAATGATCAATGATTGAATAGGGTTACCATGGGATCAAGACTGCTTCTAGAATCAGAAGAGTCACATGTTCATGAGGATCTTCTGATCATGTGGCTACTAGCTGGGGACTAGAGAAGTTGCCAAGGATACCTCCATTTTAAATACTTTTGTGGGTGGAACCTACATTATTTAATCTCTAGCCAATTAGCTCAGGTTCAATCAAAATAAACAAAAGAATAATCGACTGCCCAGTTCCCCAACCAAAGTAGAGGACCATGTGTGAGAAATTCCACTAGCCTCAAATGCAGATGAGAGAAGTCTGGCTGTTGTCACAGAGGAGGAGTACAACCAGCCTGAACCCACAGATTTGTAGGGATTGCTTCAGTGAAGTCTCAATGCCAGATCCAGAGACCAGTCATTCCCCTATGGCTGAACACTAAACTCTCTCACCTTTCTCAAGGCAGAATCTGAGGAAATCTCTCCATCCTGAATTTAGCTAGTATTTATTTGCTGAGGTATTGAGTAGGGCATGCCCCAGTAGGAGAGGCACACAGATGAGTGCTGACCAAATTTGAGACTGAGAGATTTTTTTTAAGATTTTTTTTTAAGAGTTCAGATTGTGCAGATATCTTGCATCAGAAAATTACCACCTACTGCACCTGGAGCTGAGATTTCAGTGAAACAAAGCACTCCTAAAACACCTATGGATTCAGGTGGGATGTTATCCTGTCTGCCATGAGAACAGCATTATTTCCCTAAGTCAAGTCATGGGGATGGTATCATGGTGTCATGCAATGGTCTAAGTACTTGGGTGACTCACTCTTCTCCAGCTTTAATCAATCCAAATCCCAAAATAGCCAATGATCAACAAACAAAAGTTCTGGTAATGAAGGTTACTCTCCTTAGGGTACTGAGACAAATGAATTCTAGCCAGGATAGATACATAGGGCTTCATGAACTGTCTAAGGCCAACAGATGACTCCTAATGATTCCCATCTGTTGTCCAGACAGGTAAGGATTCATCAGAACTGACATCAATTGGAACCTTACTTGTTTCTTTGACCAGGAACATTCCTAGTGATGGGTCTGAGTCTCTAGAAGTAGGGGCTCTCAAACTTGTTGTTGGGACATCCCCTATTAGCCCTGGTCTCAGGTGAACCATTCCCAATGTCCCTGGAGATCAGTTGCCTATGATGTGGAATAAACAGGAACAGGCTTCTAAAGTACATCATGAGAAAGGGATCTCATCTGTGAGATGAACCAGAGATACACTTTTAGGCAACTTGGCATTTGACTGTTCAGTCTTTCCCTACAGCACCAAAGTTCTTTGCTGAACTCCATTCATCTGCAATTGAAAATTCATGGAAGTCCAGGAACAAGAATCAGTTTTGAGGCAATATTTGCACCAACTCTATTTTGGCAGCTAAGATGAAAAGCAAACCCACTCTCCATATAGGTTGTCATAAACCCTCAGTGAAACGGGTTGGCAAGAGCAAGAAGTACTCCTCCCAATTAGAGGAACAGTCCCAATGCCAGGCACACCTTCTTCAATCACTGAGCAGCATCAGGTCCAGTGGAGACACACATTCCTCATACCCTTGAAGTCATCCTCCACAGCCCTATCTGCATTCTTTCTCTTCTCACATCTCCAGTTGATCCAGCTCAACCAAGGGAACCCATGTTCTTTCCCATGAGAACATTCCATGGGGAAATGGTAGGAAGTCAAAAAAATACCAATAGGATGAACTTTGATCTTCTTTTCCCCTTGCCTTCACCTATATCTTTACTTTAACATTTTAGAGATACATATTGGGAGAAAAGTTTTACTCTATGTGCTAAATTTGTGTGCATTGTGCAGACATTGATAAAAGCCTACCAGAAAATGAATAAACTAATATTGTAAGTGGAGTATCACTTTTGAAAGGTATCATAAAGTAATTAAATAAATAAATGTATAAGGTTCACTCAATGTCAAATCAAAACACAGGACATTTTTTAGGTGACCCCTTCTGATTTGGATGAAATTTGGTATACCTACCAACAATGGTAAGAAACTAACACACACCAAATACTGAGTTCATTTGACCCCTGGTTCCTCTGGTGCAAGGTCACAAAATGTGAGGCTGAAATATCTTATTCTCGAACCCTAATTCAGTCTCCTCCTTGAAGCTTCTGTCCTAATTAAGCTATAGAACTCATCTTAGGCTCATTTTTTAGTTCTTTTCCAGTCCTTTCCATTGGTATTGATACATTTGGTAAATACTAAAAGTTATCATGCAATAAGGAGATCATGATGATGACCTTTGACCTCACATTATCAAAACCAACCCCCTATGATTTAGAAAGGAATTGGCTAAATAGTAGACAAGACATATAGCTACCTCTGCAAAACATTATAATTTGGGCACTTTGTAGTTTTTAGAGATAATTAAGATAATTACAATTTGATAAGGTACATGGTGCAAGAGGCTCAAGACCCATGATTGCACCCTACCTCTGGAACACCAGCTAATGCATTCTCCCATCTATGCTTTTCCCCCCTGTAACATCAGCAAACATGAGTAGCCTTGGGAAACTCAATTTAGCTCATGCACTTATTCTGGGAATACACTACCTGAGGTTTGGCCTTCACCATTGAGGATCTTTTAATGTCCCACATCTTTAGATCGGAGTCCCAAGTGCTTAGGGGTCTCCTTCCCAAGCATGATGGGGCTTGCACTTGGAAATAAATACAGGACTTGCTTGGATTCAAAGCTGGGTACCCTAACATGGGAGACCAGCACATGATCAGTCAAGCCACTTGCTCATCTGCCCCAAGGGGCAGGTGAGTGGCTTAGTGCTGTTTGCATGAAATCCATTAAACAGAATATATTCCACTTCATGATTGGAACCTATGGGAATACGTTTAACTGAGTTGATATTATTTTCATTAAATTCCATGTAAAAATGAGCACTTTAAATTTGATTCTCTTTCATGCACACAAATACTGCACATGTGTTTCTGTGCATTGCTGCATATAGGTGCAATACATATAAGTGTACCTTTATATATATCGCTGCAATCAATCATACTCTCTTTTGTACTTATCTCAAGAACTTCTGGAGAGTCCATGGTAAAATTTAACATAGAGGTAGCTACATATCTTGTCTGCAAGCTATTCAATTTTTTCAAAATCTAAAATTTTTTTTTGGTAATATGAGGTCAAAGGTCATTATAATGACTACCTCATTTCAAGCTTACTTTTAGCACTTATTCGAACCCTATTCTCATGTTTGAAAAGAAAGAGCTTTTGAATGAGCCCAAGAAGAAGTCTCCAGCTCAAATAGAACAGAAGTTACGAGGGGAAGACTGTATCATAGTGGAGCAAGAAGGCATTTTGGCTTGAATTTTCATAACCTCATATTTGAGGAACAAGAAGTCAAATGAACTCAATAATTGCTGTGGTTCACTTTCTAATAGGTACAATCCTGGATTTACACTACTGGGATAAGGGTCAGAGAGATGTGTTGTTATCCTCTCTTGCCTGTAACACATTCAAGTTCAATAATCCACCTATTTCACATTTCACACAATAAGTACACATGGGTCAGGATGACTGAAGCGTCTAGGTCACACCCATTCTAGATACTTTTTGTGCTGACCCTCTTGCATTCCTTGGATGGCATATATTCATGGGCATCCTGGCAGCCTCTGGACTCATGCAAGTGGGATCTGGGTTGTGTGACATCTTTTAAATAGTGTCTTTCATCTTTCTTGTTTCATCTCCTCACGCCTGTGGTCTTTATATCAAGCATTATGCAGTTAAACATGCTTTGACGGGTCATCCTTTATGTCAAAACTACAATTGAGATGAATCATTCCCGTCAGGGAGTATACTAAGATACTGGCTGCATATTTATAGTTAAGGGTAACCAGTATGTGACTATGGACAATTTTGTTTCCTTTCTTCCCCTCTCCCTCCCCCTCCCTTTCCCTGCAGCTCTCAGCACCCTAATAATGCAAACCCCTAACAAAATATACTTTCAATCTGACTTTCTGAATGTTATCTTAATAAATGGAACTGCATAGGAAGTACTTTTTTTTCCCCAAGTCACATATTTCTTGGAAAAGTAAGTCTCTGAAATTCGATTTCTTCAAGCAAAAGTATCAGTCAATGACTCTACTGTTAATTCCAATTGTAATGGCACGTGGCGCTGTTCAGATGGGGGTGGGGAAGAGGTGTAATCAATGGAAAATCACAATGTATGCAGGCTGAACTCAGCTCGCATAGACCTTACGTTAGGCCTACAAGGTCATCGGGCACGAGTGGATGCCTCATCCAATCCATCGGACACTTAAGCCTTGCACAGGGTTTCTAGGGTAAAATATTGCACGTCCTTCCACAATCGAAGGAATCTACTACGATTTTGCTTCACTATCACATTCTTCACTTTGAACCACATGGTGGAGGCAAAGACAATCCAACTCCAGTTGACTGTCATTTCAATACGCGGACGGCACGAAGAGAGTACCTTTTCTCGAAAAGACACTTGGCAAATCGTCACGGGAAATTAGGAATTAATATGAATCAGAGGCAACAGAAGCCTGCCCAGAAGTTCCCAATGGGGGAGTTGACATGCAAAGTTGGTAACCCACTCTGCATAATTGAACAAATAATAATAATTTTGTGAATCGAACCTGTAAAATGTATCCCAAGGGGGAGGTTATAACCCCCAAAATCCCCCCTCCCACCCCTTGGGCACGCCACTAAGACGCAAGTACTCTTAATTTTCTTTTACTGACAGACAACGCTAATGGGAGCCATAGCCATGGGGATTTTTTATCTCTCGGCAGGCCTTCAATTGAGCACAAGCTCCACATGCATTGTCCCGCACGTTGATGGGTACTTGCCGTCGGATGTTTTCAACGAACATCACAACATGATAGTTTTTTGTTGTTGTCATCTTTGGAGGTTTTAAAGGAAGGATGATGTTCACACATCGTCTTCGATTGTTGCATGTATTTGCCACTAGATGCCAGTCGTGGTTGTTTCCTTTGAGCCATATGGTGACATCATCCGTCGTCTCCAACCTCATCTTGGATCGTATTCTGTCTCCCCTCACCTGCGCTTATTTCTTATCCCTGTCAGCAGTCAGCACAGACTTATCCGAAGGCCTCTTATGTGGATATAGGACCTAGGACTACCGTAAAAAATACGGTGTTTTAATGCAGTCCTAGGCTCGAAGAATTCATTTGGCCATAAGCCCTTGAAGGAGTCATGTTTCGTAGTGACCATGTCTGTGGATGATAATCACCATATCTCATAATTTCGTTCCCGGGGGGGGGGGGAGTCCGGGCCAGGAGGAAACATTTATGTTTGAGTCGAAAGTAAATATTCCGCAAATCTTGCTTCCTGTCACGAGACGTAATTCACAATTGTCACAATTGTCTCGATCGAACAGAATTGTCCATTTGAACTTCCCGTTCGATCGCAGTCCAGTCAGATCTCGGTCGCGTTCTCGGTTCCGGTATAATTGACCATGACTTCAAAAATTTGCGCACACCGAACGGGGGAATCTCATCGAACGAGGTCGTCGGGTCCGAGCCGATTTCCTTGCTTTTCTCGACGTCTTTCGAGAGTTTAGAAAATGTCCAAGTTCTGCTGCAAACTTTTCAAGTTTTCCACGGCACCAGATTTCAGCAACCGGATGTAAATTCAGATTCAGAAGTGGGGAAACGAAAAATCTTTCCTTACGAAAGATTCGTTCCGTGTTAGACGGAGAATACGTGCGTGCGGTGAACTCCCTGAAAACGGGTTTTCTTATGTTCAATTTATTTTCATTATAGTAGGTTTTTGCTGGACCCCGTTGCATCCGACCTGCTGCTAGGCCTTCATCCTCCCATATTCCTAATAGGGAACATTTTCGAATTTCGCAATCTTTCTCGAACTCCCCAGATGTTTTAAACGGACGATGATGGATTGATGGGGACACCGAGCACGGCTCGTTCCTGCTGTAGAATCGGATTTAACCGCTCGTGTGGAAAGGAACCGTTCGCAAACGAATCGCGGACGTCATTACCTGGCGGTGAAATCACAAAGAAAAACTTATCTAAACCTTAAGTTTCGATCGTTTCGCATGGCACGAAGAGGGCATCGCAGTACGAAAAGCAAAGCCATAGTTTCTCCGATCGGCACGTCGAGACGAATAGGAGAAATCGGAGGAATCTTCGAGGCATGAAGTCTCGTGACGCCCCCAGGCGCTTCAAGGTCTCTCGTCTCCACATTTTCACCTTTTTCAGTTTTAAAATCTTTTAGTCGTCTCGCCCAAGGTGAAAGAGGCCAGAGAGCGGGTTGGGTGGCTTTGGGGGCTTGGGAGGGCGAGCCGCCCGATTCCCGATCCCATTTAAGGCGTGCTCAATCCAGCCAGACCAGGGGGTCGACCGAAGAGTTTCATCTATTTCATTTGTTTTCTCGTTCGAGTCCCGTGCAGAGGGAAGGTCTCCGCATCTGCCGCTCGTCGAAAATGGTAGATCTGGGAGCCGTGCCGTTCGAAGCGGAACGTAAGGTGCTGCTTGCGGTCTTCATCCTCGTCTTGGACTGTGTGGTGACGGAGAGCATGCCGTTTCCGCAACGCTGTGATGGTCGCGGTTGCATCGTCTACTTTCCCGAGGCTGTAAAACACAACGTGCATGCGGTGAAGGGGATCGACGACACCGGATATTTCTTGAAATGGGGCGTGATGAACGCGACGACGACCACGACGCCGACGCCCCTCATCGATTTGAAGCTCCTGCGAACCTCCCAGGACCAACCTCGTCCAACCCTCTACAAATGGCCGCTGTACTTCTCCCGTCCTTTCTTCAACATTCCCGATAGCAACGGAAGCCGCTCGGACAACGAGGCCGACCCAGCTGTGGTCGACGTGAAGCAGGTCGGCGTCGAAGCCTATACGCCTAACTTCCTTCAGGCTTTCCCCGTGGACATGGCAATTTTTTGCTTTATATTGGCCCAGTTACTCTTCCCTTCTCCCTTTCTCTTCGCCTTGTCCCTCCTCAGTCATAACATCAAGAACGTGTTGGGGGAAACGTGATTCATATTGTTTTGACTCCAAATGATGATGACTATATTTTTGACTGCAGAATTAATATAATGCCTTTTAATAATTTTGTCTCGTGTCTTCTTTCGCCACGCGTTATAATGGGTTCGCGCTGCGTGAGCCTATTACGGTGAAACCTATGGATTCCGCCAAGGCCCTCCAGAGTGGCTAGGTGCGTGAAGGCTTTTTTCACCTGCCGTTAAAGTGACTGCGCCTATTCCACTCATTCTCTCTTGAGCCCTCGCAGAGGCAGCTACGTCTGGTTTTCGCTGTTTCTTGTCTCTGACTGCGCTGCAGACTCGAGGCTGTTTAGGCCTTTCCTTTCTTCGTAGCTTTTCATTCGTTGTGTGTATATTCTACTCGACTGCTCTTTTACACATCAGCTTTATCATTTGAAAGCAAAATAAAAATGGGTAAAAGCAGCGGACAATCCTGCATTCTACCCGCATGTAGAGATACATGGAGAAATTCACGTCATCATGATCCACCCACCACCTTCCACCTATTACCACGGGATGATGCAGCCAAGGAGAAATGGTTATCAGCTTGTGACCGAATGGACTTGCAGGATAGGACAAGGAGCTCTGTTCGCTCCAATCACTTTCTTCCTGGTGACTATGAAAGGGGGGCATAAGAACAAGCTTCTTAAAAAGTCGCCCATTTCTTGAACCTCCACACCTTGATCAGGATCAAATGCAAATTGAGGTATTGATGAAACAGAGTGAGGAGAGTTAGGTTAGAAAATCTTAACTCAAGAAGGATGTGAAATGTCTCAAGAAAAAACTTGCCGAGTTCTCCGAATCACGAAAAAAAGAAAGCGCTTATGTAAAATTGTTGGAAGGACAATTTTCTTCTGCACAATCGCATGTTCTCAAGGGAGGAAAGAAAGCAATCTCCACGTGGTTCGGAAAATTAATATATCCCCAAAGCATGCCCCCACCCTATGGCAGCGAGCTAAAGTTGAATCATATCCTAGCTGTGACGTCACTACACGCACGTTCACGTGCCTCAAGTGACTGTGCTCCCTCCTCGGCCGCTAGGCGCGTGAACCACTCGAGCCTATCTGATAGTCTATGTATCTTGGAATTCGGCCACTTCCCATTTCAGGCCAGAAATGTTCAGTCCCAATCGTTAGCTTCATAGGCTCAATATTAAAATAACCCGGTTTATCCAGCCACCTGGGGCTGAATCACATGTCTGAGCATCAGAAGCATGGTCAGTGTTGCTATCGCGAAGGCCACATCGTTTTCACATGCTGGACTGATAAGGATGAGGCCCAGTAGGCGATATTCGCTAGGGGAGTCCATTCGAATCTAATTTTAATCCCATTGGTTCGAGAGTGGTTCGATATCGATGATTATCATTCAGATGCGATGCGGCTATTCCGGAAAGGATTTCAGGCGACAGCACCTGAGATTCAAATCGGGATCTTGAGGCGTGGATTTCAGTCTGGTTCAAATTCTTGAGAACTCGGGTATGTTTCTCAGATTCGACATCGAGATTCAGATCAGACGATTCTAGATTCGGGATTTACGACCGGGCTCTAGATTCGGAAATCACCCATCACTGCCAGCTATATCAGTGGTGTGGTCGAATTTCACAAACGCTTGAATCAATGCTAGCTGAGCATTTTACATATACACTGGACAGCTCCTTTTTTTTAAATTGTTGTTTCATACACCCTATGCTTTTTTAAAATTCAATTTCCAAAAAAGCCTTTCCACAGACCTCTCCAATATTCTGAAGGATCCCAACTACAAGTGGGATATCTTGGCTGCCTTCGGTACCCCTATTCATAAACAGGTACAAGTGCATTTAGAAATTGATCGATTTCTTGGAAAAATAGATTTGTGGGTTGTCGAGTCTTTCCATCGTAACCCAAAAATGAGTAATGTGTACATGGTACCGCTCCAGAATCTCGGACTCTGATCGAGCGATGAAATGGAGTATATTTTCTTAATCCTTTCGCTCATCTCTTGTCCAATCGGACTCGGGGGCTGAAGACAGTTTTGAATTATTTTACATATTTCGCCAATGAACTCATCCCTGAAGCAGGAGACCCAACCACACATTTTCAACCTAATTATCAATCATGAAAACTCTTGAAATTATGGTTATTGGGTGACCTTATGCAAAAGGACGCCAGAAAAACGGACAGGAAATAATTAGGTTTTGAAATTGTAAAACCGAGCTATTATAGAATAAAATAGCGTTACCCCTTCCCTAGCGGATCTGATCGACTTCTACCTCGAAGAAACCCTCACCTCGCAAACGTCTGGAATTAGCAGTGGAATAGATCAATGGGGGAAAAAAAGACGAACTGCCAATAGCGATGGACAGGGAAGAAGTTATGTAATCCAAACCTCTCCTGTTCAATTGACAGCATGTAGTAACACCGAGGAGGACAGAAACACTTCGATAAATTGACTGAATCGATAAAGAACAAGAAAATGACGGTCAATCGTGATGCTGATGATGCCGAGGCAGGGGATATCTCAGTACTGTCACGTTTTGCGTTCAAAACTTCGTCTTCTCGTCTGCAAAGAAAAGAAGACCTTCAGCACGGTTGTCAGATGGCTTCCATCACGTATATCCGTTCCAGACTCGAAGCTTCTTGAACGTACCGCAATCCTTGTCGACGTTATCAGGACTGACTTCTTTATGATGCTCCTCGATTATGTCGTTGGTGCTAAAGGAGTGGAGAATGCCATTCCTGGGACTGGTGCGTGGGAAGATGTCGTGAACAGTGGCATAATGAGGGACTGGGGTAGAACCATCAGATCGGAAGACCCGTTCCACCTTGGGATTGGATCCCACCAGCATGACCGACTGTTCCCGCCTCTCCAGTTCACTGATTATGCTCATCAAGCCCTGCAATGCATAAGGATATTCCTCCATCAGACCAAGATGAGAGACGCGTGAGTGACCTCATTGGTTGCTTTTCCTTCGACAACTGCCAATCAGAATTCGCATCCCCGGCTTGCGTGAGTCTGTGGAATCGTTAGTCCCGTCCTCAGGTCAATGGAAGCTGAGAGTTACTCCCCTTGTTCCCTGCCATCAATGGTGCCAACAACGTAACTGAAAAGGGGGAGCGAATTTTAAATGTATTGTGTGTGTGCGTGCGCGCGGAAGATACGGGTTGATATGCAATAGGTAGACTTAACTTCATGCTAATCTGATGGTATCGTGTGCTTCAATGGGGATGTGTCTCATCCAGAAAAACATATTCTCATACCGCACTAGCCCCACTTTAAACTGGCCTGATTTCTCATGAAATCAGATTCACATCCTTCAATTTGACCTGATCCTATCCTTACCACATTGGTGCCATACCACTAAAAAAATGAGGCGCTGTTACTTCGGTTTTTTTTTTTTAAGCTTTACTTCATGAAAAATGATGTTATTACCCGATGACCAAGAATGGACAGAGTTCCTTCAGTCGGGGTATTGATTAAACTTAATTGATTTTCGCAGGCTATGGTAATGTATGACTTACAGTGACTTAGGATTTAAAAAAAAATCAAGTTTACCACGACGAAGTATTTATAAATTTGTTTTATGTCTTAGTAAATGAATTGATGCTGTCGCAAAAATGGCAACAAAGCCGTTTTGAGTTCACCTGAGGATTCCAAAATCAAGGTCAAATGGTACTACCACGTAAGAGTTGCTAAAAGTATTATCAATCTGAAAGTCCTTGGGTGAAAGCAAACAATTTTTTTTAGCAGATTACTACTACTAGCAAAATACATGTGCTAAAGTGGGACAGGTGTATGTTTTAACTTATGAATCGTGAAACTGTCACTAGATTTAAGTGAATGGCATATTTCTCTTAATTCAGGAAATTCACGCCTCAGGAAATTCACTGCATTCACCGATGCGGAACGAGATGATTCCAGGTGACGATTTCCAGAAATTAGGATAACAATGACTATGCAAAAATCTCCGGAGGAATCGGAATTAAAAGGTTTTTGAAACGAATCCGCAAGCAGCACTGCATTCGGACCGTTGCCATTACCTGGTGGACGGTGAAGTCCGTGCCTGCCATGCGAGAGCAGTCGATGACGACGGTGGGGCATTCCCCTTCGTGTTCCTTCGAGATCCGTTCGATCTCCTTCCTTATCCGCTCCGCGCTTGGGAAGTACAGGCTCCGATCCGGTCGAATCACCAACATCATGTTTTCCTCATCCGTTCCCTTGTTCCCTTGTTCCGTCAGTGAAACCAGGTTCGTCTAGGCACCAGAAGAATTTCACGATGACAACCATGCAATAGGAGACGAACAAATCCTAGGAGTTTGACAGATTCCGCATTCGACACGAAAGCAACGCGACGAAACCCGCATCATCACCATTTGCATATGTCGTTTTGAAGGCCAAAGATCGGCGAGGAAGAGGGAGCAATCCACTCACTCCCCCTCGCCGCCCACTGAGAAAATGCACTTCACCACATTGCCAGAGAAAATCCTTCAATTCCTAGAGATTCTCTATCCCATAAAAACGTTGCATTTTCTTATGACGAATGCAGCGAGATCACAGGATTGGGTCAAAGCATGGGTTGAAATAGGAAAGACCATCTCGTCCCTATCCTATGCTCTTTCCCATTCCTCTTTATTCATTGTCATGCATCCTTTCAGGCAATTACGTGAAATCAGATAGGATGGTTCTTCCCCCATTTACATAACCTTCCGTTACTTTATTTCGATTTTGGGAAGTTTCATCGCTGTGTCCAACTGCCATCTTGTCTTCATTCCATGTTTTATTAAATTTGTTGGGAACCGGTGCCGGCGTTCGTCGAAATTACGCGCGGAATAGAAGACCGGGTTCACTTCATACCTTTGATGTTTCCACGTGGAGTTTGGGTTTGGATAGATTGGAGAGGAGGAAGATGAGATTTATGACGATCCCGACGGCGATCCCGTATTCCAGACCCAACAACAACGAGGTCACGAACGTCGCGAAATACGGCACCAGTTCGATGGCTGCATCGAAGAAACTCTGTCAAAACTCGCGAAAGAGCGAACGAAGTCGATGGCAAACCACGCTCACGTTTCGTCTTGTAGATGCGGGGAATGATGGAGAAATCCACGACGAAGATGACGGCACAGATGACGACAGCCCCGAGGGTCGCCTTCGGAATGTACGAGAAATAAGGAGTGAGGAAACTCAACGCCAGCAGCACCAGAGTTCCTGTCGAAAGATCGCAAAAAGTTACGAAGATCACTACTTTACCGGATTTCCAATTCTATTTCGCGCGATGATCAGGATAAATGACAAAAATATCGCGCAAATCCCATGCTAGATGATGAATTACACGTCTATAAATAAAAATTCGTCCCAAAACAATTTTTTTTAAACTTGGAGTTCTTGCCATTTTAAATACCGATAACATCGGAGAGAGAAAACGTTCCTCTAACAGAGAAAGCACTGCTTCAAGATAAATATTTTCAACAAATCTGAATTGTCGCATGTGTCTCTCGACAGGAGTAATGCAAGGGAATGTGAACAGTTGCCCACATTCCCCCCAGTTACCCTGTATTTAGACAGTAAAATGTGGGAGATTTGATCTTGACCCACATCTCATCTATGGTTTCGGCGTGAAAGTCAGTGATGACAATCTCAGCTCAGATAGGACGAATAGCAGCGTTGCCGCGATCCCGGGAGTCCCTATCCCCTCGTATGAAAGCTTCCCGGATATCAAGCACTGACATATGCATCACCTCATATATGAAATTACTTTCCTCGGTATACCTAAGAAGGCTAGAAACGAGAGTCATTGGAAAAGCCACGCGAGAGGAGCAGTGCGGATCGAGTGAAACACCACCGACCAGCTTTCAACTCTACACCGATTTCCAAAGAAAGCATCGGGAGAGTCGCAGAGGTTTACTGGGCATCGTGGATCGCGAAAAGGCGCGCGACCGCGTATTTCGGCTTTTAGTGTTTCAGAGAACGAGATTGGGCTGGTTCATACTTGAGGTGTACAGCGTGCTGGATGCCGCAACTGCTTGCTGTACTGAAAAATCCAATTCACCATGTCCAGCCGCTGGACTGCAATCCTGAAATTCCTTTTTTTTTTAATACGTAGTACAGCAGCTGGATGCTGGATGTTGCCCGACAAAGAATTCGTGCTGTACAGCACGCTGGATCGAATATGAACCATTCCTATTTTTTGTTTGGACGCAGCGTGCAGTTTTGCAGTCCGTTAAACTACTGATGAGTACTGCTTCGAGCGTCCAGCATGCCGTACGATGGCAGTACAGCAGGAGTATGAACTTGACCTAGGACCGAGTTCATACTAGGTTGCGAAGCTGTATCACCCGAGGTTCGGCATTCCACCTGCCGAGCTCGAGTCCGTTGCCCGGATCGGGAACATCCGAGGATGCTCCACGGTCTGCTTCGGCCAAAAATCCCACGAGTTGGGATGGGAGGCAACGAACATAAATGGGGTTCGGGTTCGGGGTCATTCTTTATCTGTCATCGGTGGATATGAGGATCAAGCAAACTTCTAACGATTGGCTGAGTTCATAGTTGAATATTCCCACCATGTTAAAAGAAAAACGTAAGTAATTAAATAAAGTAACGGGGAAAAAAATGGCAATACGAAAACCGTAACGTATCGAAACACTCCATCCCTCACCCGTGCAGTTCAAATTTCGATGAACCGCTCGCAACTGGAATCCGGGGTAAACACGTATCGCAATCCGATACTCGTCGCAAGAGTAGGTAAGAGATGTTACGATACCGCACGGCCACGCGAAGAGATGCACGCACCGGTGTAGATCCCGCCGGCTTGGGTCTTCACTCCTGCGACGGAGTTGATGGCCGTCCTCGAGAAGGTCCCCGACACGGGCATGGAACCGAAGAAGGAGCCGAGCATGTTGGACACCCCGATCGCCAGCATCTCCTGATTCACGTCGATCGGTCTCGACCCGGCTGCAAATAATCCCTCCGGTCATGCCCCGCGCGTTCTCTCTGGCGCACGAGGGCGCCTCGTGCCGAGAACAGAAACCCAACATCTGACGTCCGAAAACCCATCGGTGCGAGTAAGAAGCGTGTGGAATGACGCCGCCAAAATGAAGGAAAGGCGATGTCTTTCTGAGCGAAGACAAGGATGGAATAGCAAGTATGCCGTCCTCAAAGATATATGCACTTTACCTTCATTTTCCTTCGTTCGATGAGGTAAGTTTGCTGCACAATATATCACTAGAATACTAATTCAAGAACAGCAAATATCAATGCTGATCCCTTTACCAGATCGTTAAGAATTATAATAGTTTAAATTATAACAGTTTCCAGGAATGCCTGCAGCAAGTTTAATACAACTCGTGGTGTCTCGTGGTGTTTGTGTTCCAGAAAGAGGATGGTCAATCCAGAAAATAATAGATCCTGAGGAAGTACAGAATTTGTGAGGAGAAAAGTAATTGAAAGAGATGAAGAATCAAGATCTAATAGCCAAATAAACGTGTTTTTATACGGATTTTCCTCGCGTCAGCGAAACTGTTCTCTTCGGTATATTTAGGACAACGTTATGTTGCACTGTAGATGTGTTCATGAACATGGGACCGGATGGCCCTCATACTAAGAAAACCACAGGCGTACCTTATGAAGTTTCAACATCAGTGGTATGAATCCTTCACGACTGCATGCTTGCGGCGAGAGGAGGATGTAGAAAAGCGAGGAGAGGAATCTCTCGAGGGAGGGGATCCCCCCCCCCCCCTCCCCCCTTTCCCCCCCCAACCCTAGCAGGCTTTCCAACCTCGTCGTCGCAGTTCAATTCCTTCCTCCATCCTTGCTTTTAATGGACGTCGTTCCACACCTTTCTTACTTTGTGTTCTCGGGTTTAGAGGTCAAGTTCGGGCATCCCACTCGCCAGGTAGGGATGCTAGTCGATCGAATCATTCGATCAGATTAATTAGTAATCTGATCGAATGAATAGAAATGTCACCTTACCCATACTTAACTTTCCTAGCTCATTACCTAACCTAATCTTAATTACTTCTCAACATAAATACATTGTCTTACCTTAGCTGCCATAAACAAATTACGAAACTAATTTTCGGTGCAGGTCTACAATTATGCACTCAAGCTAACGCCGGAGATAGCGTGTAAAATCGAGTCATCTCTTAAGTCGAGTTTTTCTCAAGACTCGAGTTATTCGGAGATCGTTCCATTCCTTTTAAACGAGTGAAGTCTTAATCCGTTATGGTCAAGTCTCCATCAATCATAAGAATGAGGTTAAACTCCTGCATCAGTCATTGAGAATAAATGAACATTCAATTCGCCCAAGGAACATAGAGGGGAATCAAGACCGTCCCCAAAGGATTCTGAGGTTATGTAAAAATATTTATTGACTTCGTTTGTAATTCCAGAGACCTTTAAGCTCGAAGGGTACGACAACGTCTTGAGGGTTCAATGACGGATGTACTGTACATCAATGTGTCAATGTCACATGTCACGTCATTCCCCCCCCCCCCTCCCCCCAATATGTCATAGGGCGAAGTTCTCCTTCCCGTCCCTCATGCTGCCTCTATTGCGTTTCTCAGAAATCTATTCAGTTTATTTTGTTCCACCCCTTTAGTTCCTCTTTCGTGCCAGTCTTTCCCAGCGCGCCAAATCTGATCTCTCCCGCTTCCGCTGTCCGTATCTGCGGCTTCTCCCAAGGTTTCGATCGCGTAAGTGGGTCCCAAGGGAAATGGGGCCTGGTAAAAGAAGAGAAAGAATGAATTTTAAAAAAGTCGCAGAACATACTGAAGGCCTTTGCGATGGCCATGTGCTCCAGCAGAGCGAGAATGGGAAGGACGATGATGGCTGGACCCAGGGCACTGACGACGCCCAGGAACCCCACGGTCTTCCCGTCTTGGTCCAGGGTGAAGGCCGGCGGCGAGAATACCGGCAGGCCCGCGTCCACCTTCCCTATGTGGTACAGTCAAATTTATTAGAACATACGTGTGAGTCTCCCTCTATCACTCTCACGTGAAGTGCGGAGGTGAGTTTAAATTTTCTCGATGACGAAGGACGTCTGAATTGCTCGAATTCAGGAACTTCTCTCAAATATACTCGTGACAAAAAATGGATGAAATCGGAGTATTTCTAAGATTTGATGTTAGTTATTTTGAGGAATGTCTTCAGCGTCTTTAAATTATGCATTACTGCAAAGGCGATAGAGGCGATCATTCGGGAAAACGATGAGAAATTTGCCGCGTAGACCCTCGGACTTCACAATGTCAGTGTGACTGAAAAGATGCCAGATGCGATCGTGCAAGAAAGAGCGACTGCTTGAATCGCGCGAAGATCGAGTTAACTTAAATTCCAACTGTTTGATTTTCCCATCTTTGCAAAAGACCTGGCGTTATCAGCGTCATTGAAACTGCAAACGTCTCCAGAAATTCCCTGTATCGTAGCAAAACGTCGTACTCATCCCAAAAGAATGACCAGGAATTACCAGTGAGGGGAAAAGGCGGCGGATCTCCCAGGTAATAGGCGAGGATGCCGCTGAAGAGCACCACCATGGCATTAGAGCAGCAGCAGAAGACCCCATGCACCTTCTTCATGATTTTCTCCCACTTCCCCTGCATCTTGGGATCCTTATTCCCCCACGGCAACATCTTCAGGTACTGATCGGTGGAAGATAAAAAAAAGCACATATCTAAAAATTCCATTCCCGTCTTCCCGTTTCTCTTCTCATCCTCGCACGAACCCGAAGAGCGACGAGAAACGCGATGCAACTGAGACCCAGAGTGAGATCCCACTTCTTCGTGTCGTTGATGTTGGCAAAGACTTGCTTCCAGTTGTCGATGAACCCGCTGGGCTTGATGTCGAGGCCGAGGATGGCCTTCATCTGAGTCGTGAAGATGTTGATGGCCACGGCGGACGTGAACGCCGACGTCACCGGCCTCGAGATGAAGTTCATCAGGAAACCTTCAAATGCGAAAAATTAATCCTTTTACCCATGTTTTTTTCTTTTTTTTTCCCCCAAGCCATACCGAGATTAAAGATGCCGGAGATGAAGATGACGATCCCAGAGAAGAGGCACAGCGTTGGCGCCATGATGGGAGGAAGACCCCGAAGGGTCACGAACTGATTCGTCATGAGGGACTGGGTCGCCGTCGGGCCGATCGTGATCTCTGGCACCCCACCCATCAACAAGTACACGAAGCACCCCATGAACCCAGAGTAAAACCCGTACTGTGGGATGAAAAAAAAAGTATCGCGTTTGAAACAGTCAAGACTGGGTGACTCAACTCAGAAGTATGGCTGTGGGCATGTTTATGCCTGCTATTATATGATATATGAAATCGAGAACCAGTTTGAATTGTAAATTTGTTCCTCTCTTCTTACTTCTCCGAACAAAGATCTCAGCACGGCCCTGTCCTGAGAATCTGGAGGAGCTAAACCGAGTCTTTTGCCGATGATTCGGATGAGGCGGCACGTCGAGCGACCCCAGAAAATAATCATTCGACAATAACATATTTCGGATATTCCCTGGCGCACGATAAATCCTAACGTAAAATTTCCTCATGACATAAATCTCCTCGGAATCGGCACCGTTCGGATCGGGCGCCGATCCATCCGCTGGATGGAAAACAAGCAAGATGTAGCTGGGAGCAAATGAGACTTAAATATTGGACACCGTAGCCATGAAGAAATGTCAGCAGAGGCAAGGGTACCGGACGGTTCTGGGTATCATAGAGTCAAAGTGAAATCGCAGCAGCAGAAAGATACAGTAAAAAAAAAAAAGAAGCGGAATCCTTTACGTACTCGTAGAGAAGTGAGCCAAAATAGTGCCTGGGTACAGCCACAAAAGTAAAGAAAGAGCAAAACATTTGGCGACACGAGTCAGGACGTACCTCGTTCAGCCGAGTCGGTTCAGGATTTCACTTAAGTACATTTGAGTATTGCCATTACCTGGGGCTCAGTACATGAGGTCCCGAAAAAGTACCTCACTCTTCGGTCTAGTTTACGGTTCTGGCATTGCCAGTTCTTCTCAGAACTTCGCTACTTCCAGAACTTCTTCGCTTCTCGACATCCCCTCAAAAGACACATATTTGTGGTAAGGCATGTACGCAGATTCTCATCTTATCACATGTCTGATCGCATGCAAGAATGCCTCCACACAATTCCAAGAGACATTCCACGGAACACTTTCATCTGGATTCTTCTCGAGGGCAGCCCGCAGGCATTCAAATTGTAAGTACTTTTCGTAAGTACTTTTCGTAAGTACTTTTCTGTCTAAAACCCGATATACACGCCCTCGAGAAAATACTAGCCGACGCGTGATTTTCAGTACTGCCAGTACTAGCAACAATTCTGCATTTTCGGAAGGAAGAGGAAGCATCCCGGTTTCGTTCGCTTGGAAAAGGGCCTTTACACCGCTTTACGCCCTGCGATTATTATCATGCCTTTCGGCAGCAAAAAAAAAGGAGCAGCGTAAGAAAACAAAGGGGATTCTATCGCGCCGCACTAGACACCATTATTCACAAATTTTTGCGTCGATGGAAATTTGACGTTCGCATTCTCTCGTGGGCGAGGTCGAACTCGCATCGGTCTCGCGATTGGCCGAAAAATAGCAAGGTCGGCATCGTGCAGCCGCTCCGACTTTTTTGCAATCGAAATGCGAAAAGTAGTAGAAGCTCTGCCGTCTTCTTCCTTTAACATCTGAATGAGTGAAAATTTCTCGAAACGGAACAAACGTAACGACAGTTCGTAATTCTGCATGAAAATCGACCGACATTCATCCTCGACTTCATTTTTTCGCCGCATCCACGCTATGGAACCCGTTCCGCTCGGAATTCTTCTCGATTCCAGGAAAATAAAAAGTAAAAATATGGGAATCTCTCTCGGCGATAAGAACTGTTTCTCGCTCCGTTCGCAGATATTCATCTCGACGCCTGGGAACGGGAGATACAGTCGGCCTCGATTGCATCATCGATCGGGACGGCATCCGCCATTGGCCATTGGCCATTGGCCATTGGCCATTGGCCAGTCTCTCGTCCAAACTATCGAAACGACCGAACCGTTTCTCGGCGTGTCTCCACGCTCGCATCGTTCTACCAGGAATAATAAAAAACTAATAAGAAACTAATAAACCGACATCCAAACTCGGGAGAATCGCCGAGAAGATTCACCGCAACCAAAAATGATTAAAAAATACAAACGACCCCCCAACGACCCTGACCGTAACTAAATGGATTACTGCATGCAAATTCTACTGGAAGCAGAATTTGCCAATTTGAAGAAGCCAGTGCTCATAAACGAAATCCGGCGAACCGAAAGAGGAGCGAAACCGCGTTCGTCCAGTGCGATCGTAATGGGGGACCCATCCAAATTTTTTATATATTTTTAATGGTTTCCGATACGATTGGTTCCGTGAGAAGTTTTTAGCGCGGGAAATGCAAGAATTCGATTTGGTATGAATATTTATGGCCCACTTCTGTATGGAGTCTCGCGAACCGGTCAGCTGACATCTCGCAACACTGCCACGTCGAACATCACTGGTGCACGTTTCCATTTTGCGGAAATTGTTCGATTGCTTCTACAAGGGACAAAAGTTTCGGGCCGAAGTGAAATTATAAATGTGATCGATCTGCTTACGCACTTGTCGCGTTACCATCTTAGCGTTTTGCAATGTGCAGATTTTATGCATACAGTACCTTTATGAATCGACTGTGCATTCTATTTAGCATATGCATAAAATCGAGTCCTAACGCCAAATGCGTGAGAGCTGACCAGCGCACAGTTCACAGTCACGCCAAAATCACGCATGATTGTTGCTTCGCTTTTTTCTTCTGACTTCCGGAAACCTCGAGAGGTTTTTTTTTTTTTTTTAAGCCGCCGCCGAGAGGGCAAAATTCTCGACACGACTGGAATACTTCGACCATCGAAATAGCCATAACACATTCCGATTTCGTTTCTTCCGTGGTGCGGGCTTCGCCTTAAACAACTTGCTTCGTGCGTGAGGGTCTCAAATTAAAACCAGGATTTGAATTAGATGTGAAGAATTTCCTCTCTCCGTCTCGACGAAATCTTCCGTCGAGCAATTCATTCCGCGGGGACTTTCTCCACGACCTCGAAAATTCCTCTCGTTTCCATCACGGACTCGGTCGCACTCGGTTTTCACTCGGTTCAAAGACGCCGCATCGAGAGACATCTAGATGAGGTCGAGTGAGTTGCAAGTCCCCCCCCCCCCCGGCGAGCAGTTCATTGACGACCTCGTCGCCGGGTTTACTGATGAGGTCGAGTGGGTTGCAAGCCCCCCCCCCCCCCCTTCCACCTCTTTCCATGACGTCTGGTCGCAGCTCGCAGGATTGAACTGATTGAAGGGATCGGTCGTTATCTCTTTCGGGGGAAGGATTACAACTGCTGGAGGAGAAGCGAAGCGGACTAAAAAAAATGACTTCGAGCAGGGATGGACCAAGAACGAAAAGTGGGAGACGGCGAAGCGCGCCGAGGCCGCTTCCGCTTTTCGCGTAAAAATGTGCTTTTTGCTTCCGCTTTTCGCGTGAAAAAAAAGTGACTCTGGCAGGGATCTGATGGCTGCGATGGGAGAGGTAGAAACTCACGGGAACGGGCAGACCTGCGAGCCCCGCGAAGGCGATGGCATGGGGAATGACGGTGAGACCGACGGTAAACCCGGCGACGAGGTCGTCAATGAACTGCTCGCCGGTGTACTTAGGTGCCCATTCCAGGATGGGGAACTTGGACTTGGCCCTTTCCAGCGTGCAGCAGCCTCGGGCCTTTCCCGTGGCCCAGTGTTTCACCGAATGCCTGGGTCCACCGCGACGAAAAGCTCCACCGTAAACTCTTCCACCTCCGATAACTCCACCTCCAACTCCACCTCCAACACCTCCACCTCCAACACCTTCACCTCCTTCTGCATAATTTACTTTTCTGCGGTCTTCTGTCGGCGTCCTCTCTGTCACTAATCAGTTTAGAAACAGCATGACAGTCAATGATTAGTTTTCTCTCCATCCGAATACTTTTTGGACATATCTTCCCCCGACGGCAGGCATAAAATCCTTTAAGGTGTCTGAACAAAATAAAAAAAGCTTAAAAACAGGTTTTGCTCTTTTTCTCCGAAGAAACGGCTCGTGTTCCGTCTCGGTCGACGCTGCAGATGCATGACGTACATGAAAGAAAAGCCTGGAAGCGACTTAAAATTTCTCGAGCTTCATCACGTAGCTTCATCATGCTTGGATATGGAAGTGTCAACAGCTTCATCGAGTAAAATTCGTGCAAAAATGATTGAAGAGAGGTCGACTCCTGACAATTGTTCCCTGAGAATTTTTCTTGTGAAAAAGGTCGGAATATCAGTACCTTCGTCAGCTATATTAATTATTCATTAACTTTCGTAATTAAATCTTGCTTGATTTAAAACATCTAAGATAAATTGTAATCGATGATCAATAACCATTTTAAAGAGTGACTGATAATGGCTAATGGCTAATTGATAATGGCTAATTGCTACTGATTATTAAAAATACATAAATGACCTCAGCTCTGGCTGCACGCACCCTGCAAGAACGCGACGTGCAAGGGACATTGAACCACCTTGTAGACCTTGCGTTCCGTAAAAGGCAACGACACATACCCTACATTGCCAAATGTGAAGGCCCACGTCACCGCGGGCCCATGTGGCCAGATGGCCGGACCGGAACTTCAATTAGAAGTGCGGCGGCAGCACGACGGAAGGAAATTCTATTCTAACGGGGGCGTGGCGGTTGGATGCAAGTTGGCGGGAAAGTCCGGCAGAGCTAGCGCCTCTTTTGGACCAGCCCGCACTACGGTGCGCGACGTCATGGGAAGGAGACGCCAGCACCGAATTCAGAGGTGAGGCGATGGCGATGTACGAGGGTTCCTCGTTTAGTTCGCGGAATGGTGCTGTAAAGACATATCTGTTTAGTCCTCATCCGCCTGACTCCTGTCCTTTCAAAGTACTCACGCCCCCCCTGCAATCGAACACACTTCCTCCAACGTTGCACCCACGCATCAAACGCTTCCTGTTGACCTTCCTGTGACGGCCGACGTAAATCCGTTGTCACGGCTTTCTCAATCTCATCGGCTTTTGGGCCGGTGTCAAGCGAAGGGGTACCCATCTTGCGCATACTCTTGACATCTTGAGACTGTCGCTTAGGATATAACGTGCAGAGCCCACAGAAACGTCCAAAAGAGATGCGATTTCACGAACAGTAAGTCATAGGCTATTTCGAATCAGTTCCTCTGCGCGAGCAATATCGTCTGGTATCCTCGATGTTGATGGTCGGCCTGAACGATGATCGTCTGGCCGACGAACGACCGCCCTTCGTCGAGGCGTTTGTGCCACTCGAATGCCTTGCTTTTCTCGGGGCCGATCATCACCGTAGGCTTGCCGCATTTCATCTGGCGTGGCTGTCGCCGACGAACCACGTCTCGAGCAGTACCGAGAGACACGACGCTGTTCGACTTCCAATTAAACAACTATTGCGACCAAGACGAACAAAATTACTAGAGCAAAATAAGGTTAGAACCCGAACGACTAGTCCGTCCGCGCAAGCCCACTCGACTGCGCAAAACCCCGCAGCCATTGCATCGTCTCGAAGGCACAACTGCTGTCAACGAGTTTTTTTTAAGAACGCCCGGCCCATTCCGCGAATCAAACGAACGGCCCTCGTACTTGATGTTCACGAGTTCACCCTCGACGAGATCGACTTCGGGATCTCCGAAGCAGGCAGTATACAAAGAGTCTCTTCGTCCTCGAGGGAACGCAGGGATCGTCTTCGCCCTTCGCCGCCATGACAGAAGCCGTTCTCGCATCTGATTGGACGAGCGAGCGTCTCCCGTCCGAGAAGCCACGAAAAATTCCCCACTTCTCCCGACGGACGCTACCGACTCTGTTCGCTCGTTGGAAAGACCTTGTAAGGGGTGGGATTTTTTTTTATAGATGAGACGCCGTGGAAAATATTGCACTTGATATTCCTTAACCTTTTTTTTTTTTGCCAGACGTTAGCGTAACCTCATCTAATTTTCTACAAGGTCTCCATGCTACAGTGTTTTTCACTCGAGTTGAACAATTTTCCACTCGACTCAGACATGAGGAATGAGGTACACGAGTACATGAGGTACATGAGTACATGAGGTACATGAGTACATGAGGAATATCCCATGCACGGGTCGAGTGAAAATTTGACTCAAATGAAAAACACTATTCGATCTCCGCTGGAAGATGAAGTCGAGGTTCCGAAACGAAACGGGAAATGCAACGAACGGTTAATATCTCGCTGCTACTGCAATAATTTGCTTTTTGCGCGGGAAAGGGAAAATGGCGATCGCAGGAGAAAATAGGGAGAATTCGAAGGGGCAGGAATAGAACCGAGACCAGTGCTGCTCGATTCAATCCTTGAAAGCGTCGACGTACAAAATCACTTTTCAGCGTAAGTTACCAAAACGCATTTATTTCCTTAATGAGTACCATTTCGCATTCGTGCTGGAAAAGTAAGGAATAACATGCGCAATTATTTTTATTGCACAAAGTCTTCGAAAGCAAACCGGCGGAGTGCAACACTTATTTTCCTCAATGCTCAACTTATTTATTACCATGATTGGTAAGTCAGGTAATCATTGGTAATCACTCGACTCTTTTTTTTTTAAAGTGCAATCGACAGAAAATTAACTGCGAAGTAATTTGGCTTCGTTTTAAAAATCCTCAATGTGACTTAATTATCTAGATTCAAACAGAAATTAAATAACTCTTGCGACTAAAGTACTAAGAGACTTAAATAATAATTAAAATAATGATCAGGGCCAGGTCCAACGAGAATGAATTAAATGGAGCGGGTCGAAACGTGGTAAATAGAAATTTAAAAAAAGACGATAAAT